CCCAAGGTTATGTTCCAATGGTCAGATCATTATCAGACAATCTTTGAGGATGTCAAGGCTATCCTTGCCTCTGCTCCAGGGCTTGAGAGACCCCATCTCAGAGATTCTTTCAAGCTGAAGGTAGACGCTAGCAAAGTGGATGCTGGGGCAGTATTGTTGCATCAGGATGGAGCAGGTATTGAGCTACTTCTCCCACAAGTTTTATTCCTTGGTGAGGGATGTTGGTGAGTAGCAGAGTTGGTGTAAATAGGAACTGAGTTTTCACTGGTGCACTGATAAGCACATTTGAACTTCATGTGACTCATGGGTAGCGCTGTCAATTGTTCTCATTTCACCCCTGACTTGCTGACATTTCTGTTTCCACCTTTTGTAAATAAATTTTAATAAATAATCATATCTTTATATTGTTCATATCTTCGTTGTGTAAACTCCTTTTTGTTGCAAGCAAGAGTCAGGTGATGCAACAGAGATTGTGTTTTGGACAAAAACAGTGAAGATTACACAATGAAATAAGTCTTTATCTAAAAAGTTTTTAATTAAACAGCCTACACAAAACATCAGCATCATAATAGAAACAGGAAATGATACGATACAGCAGTGAGAGCTAAAACCTTTTGTGATTTAGCAGTCTAACTTCCCCATTATGTGTCAGACGGGAAAAACAAAACAATTTCCACTGTTGTCTTCCTCAGATTAATAGCACTTGAAGCGCATCCACTCTGAGTTCAGGCCATTTTCATGTCTCAAGGAAAAACTTATGAAAGAGGTAAGACTCTGTTTATAAACCCTAACAATATTATTTGTGTTTACTGGAGAGAAAAAATATGACACAAATGTGGTCACATTAAATCAAAAAATCTGTTATTTTGCTTTAAAGCTGTTGAGATGTAGCTGACATTAAAACACACACTTAAAAAATCTCAGGATTAAAATCCAAATCAGTTAAGCAGTATCAAGGTTTTTCTCAGAACTAGATTTTGTAATGATGGAAACCTAGCACACTGAACTGTCTTATATTTATTTTTATTATCTATGTTGCATTTATATGTTGTTTGCTCTTTGGTTTTTTGAGAGTAATATTGATGTCAATGGCCAAGAAAATGCTTTTTTTTTATAAGAAAGCTATAGATGATTGGTTTTGAAAATACAAATCAAATTTTGTACAATTCAAGGGAAAAAAAATTTGTGCTACTTGGATGAAACCCTCGAGCTGGCTGAGCCAGTGTCCATTAGATAATCCAGCCCATACTGTCACCAAAGCAAGTAGCTCCATTTTGTAATGGTTAACTCATTTCCCTTTCAAGTCAAGTTATAATGCGGTTGACTCATAATGATGTTCTTAGGCCCAGATAGATGCTGTGTCAGGAAGAACATGCGATGCAAAATCTGTGCCAAATCAAACATACCGATTCTCCCACAGCGAATCATCTCAGAGATTTACCCTTTGAATTTGATTCGATTCAGTTTTAGTTATATGCTGTCAAATTACAACAAAGACCAAGACAATAATACATAATACTACCCCAACTTTCAGACAAGCCCTGAACAGCAAGCACTTTGGTGACAGTGGGAAGGAAAAAAACTCCCTTTTAACAGGAAGAAATGTTGAATGCTTATAAATCTCAATTTTTACTAATTTTTGTTTTTTCTTTAAAGTTGTAGGAATATGCTGACCTAGTTTTGTTATGTAAATTTGTAATTAATTTTTGGAACAGTTTTTGGAAAGTGATTGGTTTATTAGCATATGGACCCTCGCATTAATCAAGGGATTAAGAGCACCCTGGAGGGGTGTGGTAAAGAGGTTTTTTGTTTGCCAAGTGTCAGATGGGACGACGGGGGGGTTTAAAAAAAATTTGACCACTTTTTGAAGTTGTGAAAGCAAATTAAGTTAACTTTCATTTAATTTTAAGTTGTAAGAAGTTATTTGGTTGATTTTTGTTTAGAATTTTCCACAAAATAAACGCCATATAATTTTAAACAATGAAGTCAGAATTGCATTCTAAAACAAACCTTCCGTTGCCACCCATGGCCTTTTCTTGGACTTTTTTGGTGTTTGGAGCATAAAAGGCCATGACAACCTGTTCAGGGTCTACCCCGCGTTTTACCCTATGATAGCTAGGACAAGATCCAGCACCCCCTGTGATGATGATAAAGACAACCAGAGGAGACTGGGTGGAAGGATGGATGGATTGACCTTTCTGCAATTCTGAAATCTGTCTAACTTCCCTCTGTGCTGCCTTGATGTTGTCATCTAGTCTTGCTGTTCTTTGTGATTGTTATTAGTCAAGCATATCAGGGATCACTGTAGCTGTGGCATAGACCAGCTAGTTGGTTTCACTAACGGTAATGCTGCATTCACATCTGCTAGTAGACATTTACAGGGTAATTCACGTAATCTTGGTAATAAGCACAGAGGGTCCAGGTTTAGCCAACTTAGCCATGATCTTCTCTTTCAGGTCAACTGCTCTCACATTCAACATACCAGTTGTTTATGGGGCTTGCCAGCTGATCTTGAAGGGTGGAGATAATTATATCTCACTCCTGATTTTAAATCCTGGCTTCACCTTGCCATAACATTTGTGTTCTACTTCGTCCTTCTCCAGCTGTGATAGCAGTTACTTGCGTATCACTGAGCTACTAGTTGTTTTGATGTTAGTCTAGGTGGGTTTCCATTTGTATCCTCTTCATGTAACCTTCTGGATTAGATGAAGCTTTCACTGAAGTTAAATGTATAGTAGGATTCCAACAGTTCACTATTCTGATTTGTTGTTCCAGTGAAACCTCTGAGACATACCGATTAGAGGTGTGTCTCAGAGGTTTCACTGGAACAACAAATCAAAATCACGAATTTTTCATCACTAGTTGCAGCAAATCTCACGTTGTTTTATTCTGTGCTAAAATGATGACACGGTAATGTAATCAGACTAATAACCTTCAATTTTATTTTTTATCCTGCCCGACTCAGGTATATTGAACAACAGAATACCCCCATCTCTAAGTGGAAACAGTACTGCTTCCCAAGATCAACATGCTAGCTACAGGAGTTTGGCCTCTGCTGCTTTTCTCACTTCTTTTGTGTTTCTTTCATTGTGAACATTTACTTGCTTTTTCACTGAAAAACTGCACAATTATCTATACAGAAAAATCTAATGTGTTAGTCACTTGCACAGAGCGTTACCTCACTGCTATTCCAGATGACATTCCCAAAAATGCAGTATTGCTAAATCTCAAGTCAAACTACATTTCAAATATTACCAGGATGAATTTGGAAGGTTTATTCAAGCTTGAAGTTCTAAATTTGGAAAAAAACTGGATTTCACAAATTGATGGTGAAGCTTTTGCAGACTTGGTAGAGTTAAAGGTTCTCATCTTGAGTATAAATAGGCTCGCAACACTGACAGAAAACATGTTTCAGGGTCTTTCCAAGTTAGAGACACTGTCTCTGGACTGGAACCAGATCTCATTTATCTCCCCTGTGGCCTGTCAGCCCCTGGTCAGCGTACACTCAGTAGATTTGAGCTATAACCTTCTGCATCAAATTTCAGATATTGATCACATTATTAGACTCCCAACTTTACAACATTTGTTTGTATGTTACAACAACTTTACTTCTTTTCAGTCAAATGACCTCCATGTAAATACCTCAAACCTACTCACCCTGTGTTTGGATTCAGTGAAGAAGTTCAGCATTACAAGAGACATTTTTCCTCATCTGCAGTCTCTGGACTTGCGAGGCTGGAACGGGGACATCGAGTGGGAAGTGTCAAACAAGACTTTTTTAAAGAGCCTGACGAGACTGCAAATGAGTGAAACTTCTCTTAGCTTTGATGTGTACAGAGCGATTCTGCAGACTGCTTACTCTCTTCAAGAGCTTCAGATGGATAACATACAAAAGTGGATAGATGATGATTTCATAGACGTCGCCTGCAAAATTCCTTCTCTTAGAACTCTGAATGTAAGCAGTAGTGAGATTTACACCTTAAAGGAGAACATGCTGCAGTCTTGTTCTCACCTAACTAACCTCAACTTATCATTTAACAATATAAAAAGCATGGCTGATAATGCACTCCAGTCAATGACACAGCTCAGGAGCCTGATATTACAAAATAATGAACTGTCCGAACTGCCAGTGGCCGTCCAAGGACTCACCACATTGGAAGTCTATGACCTTAGCATCAATGACATCAGTGAACTTTACTGTCCTTACTTCTGGAATTTAACAAGCCTAACAATACTCGATCTGAGCCACAATCATATATCCTATATCTTTGACTGTGTTTTTGAAAATTTAAACAATTTGAAAATCCTAAATCTTGAAAACAATAAGATTTCATCATTCGATTATTCTTTTAAATTTAAATTACAGACACTGGAGTTTTTGTATTTGAAAAACAATGAGCTTATAAATCTCTTTCAAGGAGTCTTCAGTAATCTGTCTTCCCTTCGTTATTTGAATTTAGATGTACGCATGTGTAACAATGTTGAGGAAGGAGGGTTAAAGGGACTCTATAACCTCCAGTTCCTTTTTATGCAAGGTGATATTTATTTTTATGAGCATTTCAGTGGGCTGCCAAACTTAAGCACTCTGATCTTAAATGTTGTCTCTAGCCTGCCACATAACAGCTCCAAACAAAGCGATAACCCTTTCTCAAATTTACCGAAACTGAAGAAGCTTAATATCAAGGTTCATAGAGGATATTACGATATTTCAAAAGATGTTCTCAGTGGTCTGACTTCTTTAGAGTACTTAATAACAGAGGCATATTTCATGGGATCTTTGCACCCAGACACATTTAAACACACACCGCAACTGAAACATCTGAGGATATCTTACAGCGAGCTTTCAGTTTTAACATCTGACGTGTTCTTGCCAATTCCAAACCTGATAATACTCGACCTCTCCAACAATAAACTCAGGTCTTTGGATTTTCTAGCAGAGGCCAAACTGTCGGCACTCAGATGGCTCGATGTCAGCAACAATGAATTGTTCGTAATCAGTGAAACAGTTATCCAATCCCTTTTAACCATGAAATATCTGGATCTATCTGCTAACCTTTTAACATGTGAATGTTCTAATTACGGTCTTATCCAGTGGATTCAAGGCAGCAAACAGACACAAGTTGTTAATGCACATCAGTACACTTGCTCATTTCCTGTCAGCCAACGGGGAAACAAATTCCTTGACTTTGGTTTTGACTCATGTTGGATAGACGCTGCCTTGCTCTGCTTCCTTTTTAGCTCTAGTCTAGTTATGCTTACTCTCCTCGCATCCTTCATCTATCACTTCCTGAGGTCACACCTCACCTATACCTACTACCTCTTCCTGGCCTTTCTCTATGATAATAAGAGGAGGAAGAAAGGTATTCCTCACAGCTACGATGCCTTTGTCTCCTACAATGTTCATGATGAAGCTTGGGTCTACGGAGAGTTGCTTCCAGAGCTGGAGGGTCAACAGGGCTGGAGACTCTGTCTGCACCACAGAGACTTTGAACCAGGTATAGATGCTTTTCATTAGCCTCTGTTCTACTTTTAGCTCAATATTTAATGAAGCTAGCACACAAACTCTGTGTCTTCTTTCCTATAAATACAATTGTTTCTTTTTGTTCCGCTTTTCAGTGGTACCGAAAAAGATCACGTTTTAACACCACAGTATCTTTTTTTTCTCTTTGACAGCACTGCAAAAATATAAACAGCGTCTACAGTGTCAAAACAAAAATAGCAATGACATGTGACTCACAAACTGCAGTTTGAATGCTAGATCTAAAAGACTGACCATTTAGAGAAACGCTACAAACTGATCTTTAAACCTCAAAAAGTAGTATATAGATGTGCTACTCGCTCTGGCTACTCAACTGTCAAAGCATCCTACATCTGGGAAAATGAAAGGTTTACTCTGGAAGAACTTTTTTTTTTTTGCTGAAACCATGAACAAGCCCCTAGAAGGCCATGTGTACCCAAAGCTTTAATTCAATTGAAAACATCTAAGTTTCCTCCATATTTAAAATCTGAAGACATGAAATTACTTTCATTGATTTTTTTACTGCATTGAAAAGAGAAAAGCACCAAAGATGTATTTTGCACTTACAGGCCTGTAAGAAATTCTTCACTAAATTAGATTTCGGCAAACGTAAAAGTTGAATACTGTAGAATCTTTTAGCAGCTGCCATTAGTAAATTGGGCACTTTTAGACAGACTTTAAAAATGTTTAGCCAGAGACAATCATCCATCTCCACTGTTCTCCATTGAGCTTGTCAACTGTTCCAATCCAACACAAATATATGTAACTGCCCAATTAACAAAGTATAGACTTAAGAATTTCACAAAAGAAAATTATAGATTCTCATTAGCTGGAATTTGATTCAGCATCAGTGTACGTGTCAGGGTTTCTGGGTCGTTGACCCAGTATTTTCAGTTCATGTTCACTGTTTATCCTCTGTACGTTCCACTTCCTGTTTTGTGTTACGTTACTCTGTGTGCATTATGTTCTAGTTCTTATTCCATGCATCGTTAGTTCAATTGTGTTCAGCTGCTCACTCACCTGTCACCTATCAGTCATTGTTCAGCCAGTGTATTTAAGTCCTCAGTTCTCTCCTGGTCGGTGTCGCATCATTGATGTTGTCACTGCTGTCTATGCCCCATGTTTGCCTTCCAAGTTCAGATCACTCAGCCGTTCAGTCAGTCAGTCAGCCATCTCCTGTTTTCGTCATTCGTCCCTCACAATAAACACCCTGAATCTTCACCGTGAGTCCTGCGTTTGAGTCCTTTTCTCCACATCCACTCAGCAACCCCTGACAGTACGCCTCAGTGACTTAAAAAATCGTTTTTTGCTTACTCACCATTGCTGAAAAAAAAAAAAAAAAAAAAAGGACAACCAAGGTTGGAGTGAATGGAATTTAAGCCCCACTATTCTCAGAAGTGAGAACACCTTTGAAATCTTTTAACTTGTACAAAGCTAAATTTTATGTAACTTGTGTCATTTTAGAACACAATGCTGACATGTTTGATGTGTCAGATTTTTGTTTTTACAGGTAAGCCCATCGTCGAAAACATTACAGAGGCTATCTATTGTAGCAGAAAGACTATCTGTGTGATCAGCCAGCATTACCTGCAAAGTGAGTGGTGCTCCAAAGAAATCCAGATGGCCAGGTATGGTTAGCAACTCTTTGTTCTTACATGTAAGGATGTCACCAGTTTCTACATTGATTAATCTGCGTGTGGTGTCTTTAGCTACCGTCTCTTCAATGAGCACAAGGATGTGATGATCATGGTGTTTCTGGAGGACATACCAGCCAAGCAGCTGTCTCCATACTTCCAAATTAGGAGTCTGGTGAAGAAGCGTAGCTACCTGAGTTGGCCACAGGCTGTTCATCACACTGGAGTCTTCTGGCAGAAAATACAACAAGCTCTCAAGAGAGAAGAAAACCCTGCTGATCACAGGTGCCTCCTCACTGGCTACCAGAGAGTCATCCAGTGAGATTTAACCCAGGTGGAAAAATCACAGATTGTATATATATATTGTGTATATTTAAACAGAGCGTTCACGCTAATGCAGGAGTGGCTAAAATGCATTACTTCTAATGCCCAGCAGGGGGAAACTCCTCTGGCTTCAATAAGGTTGCTTGTCGAAGTCTATGGGTAAACATGGTAGCTTCTGGATCAGAGAGGTGAAGCTTCTGCAGAAGTGGATAAACTTGCAGTACTTCTAATGCCCAGCAGGGCTCCTGTGGTTTCAATAAGGTTGCTTGTAGGTGTCTAGTTGCAAACAGCCCTATGGTGCCTTGACCTGTGACCTCAGCAACACTTTGTTGTCTGGTGGACTTTCCTGGAGTTTATGGACTCAGTCAAAAGTGTCAAGTCTTATTTCATGTTGTCTGTTTTATAAATGTAGAACTCAATGTAACAAGAACTATATGTGCATTTTTATTAACACATGTACACAATTGTAACATATTAACGTGTTTGTTGTGCTCATCCTGTCAGGAGTAAATATACTAAATGACATTTCTTGCCAGAAAAGTGTGAATAAACTTTTTTCATGGTTGATGTGCTTAGAAATGAAATGCTATTATAATCTGATATAACAAAATAATAATGAGACTGATGAAGAGGAGCACTTACTTGAACTGGCTACAGGCTGTTCAACACACTGGTGAACAGCCTTCTGCCAGAAGACTAAATGTATTTTCTAGTTTATCATCTCATATTATTTGTATTTACAGATATAATTAATTGTGTGTTACAAAAAATATAACATGTATGGTTTCTTGTTACTTGTACTAAACTGTCACACGGTCACACGGATGTATCCTTGCTGTCCTAATGCTTAGGCAGCACACTGCTGGTTTCCTTGATACGTCACCTGACTATCACACTACCTGAGGGCTGGAGTGACAGTCAGCAGCAGCAGTGTTTCGGTAGCTCATGCTTTTTTGTTGTTTTTATTGATGCTCTGATGATGTGGAATGGTATGAGTTTTTATCATTTTACTGGCATGTGGAAAGTGTGTTTAAAATAAAGGTAATTCAGTGGTTTGTCTCTTTACAGAAGTTTCAGAGTTTTGAAATAGGTTCAAGGTTCCATTATCCTCATGAAAATTAAGACAAATAATAAACAATAAAATAAACTGCCTGCCACCAACATAAAACAACTATAGTGCAGCATATTGAAACATTTAAACTGGAGCAGCATTTTAAAATTATAGCAGCACAGTGACAGCATTTAAAAAAACACACAAAAAACAGATTAGTGTGCTTAAATACAAAGAATAGTAGCATAGTAGAAGCATAGTAAATAAAATAAAACCGAACAAAAACAGTGCAGCGCATCAGAACAACTGAGTTATCAGTGAGCAATGGAGTTAATCAGTCTTACAGCCTTAGAGCCTCCTGCCTGTGTGGTGGGAGGGTATCAGTTTATGATACTGACCGCAGTGCACTGTGTGAATGCAGAAGTCTTGGGTGCAAACTGTACAGCTTCCTCATGAAGTGCTTCATTAAACATTGATCTGAAGTGACTCAAATGAATTTGACAAAGTGAAACTTAATAATGGTAATAAGGTCACAGGCCTCACTTTTGCCATCGAACAGCTTGTCAGTCGATTCTTATCAACTGTGAACCCCTGAAAATGGAAAACTGTATATTAAAATGTCTCTAATTTCTAAACACCTAATGCAATACTTTAGTCAAACTTTGAATCAAAGGTGAAAGACTGCACTGTAATTACATCTTGATTGTTTGATTTTAATTCCCCTGTCGTCTGCAAATGCAGTTTCTCTAATAAAGGATAGAATAGAATAGAATAGAATAGAATAGAATAGAATAGAATAGAATAGCGCTTTTATTGTACATGTACAACTAAATTATGGAATTATGGGTGCTCCACGACAACTGTGTAGGAATAAAATATAAATAGACAGCAGGAATAAATAACAAACAGGAGAAATGTAGATATAATCAAGAGAAAGACACATTGGAGAACAAAGTGTTTGGAAGTAGTACAAGTTATTGAGTTATGGGGGTTAGTCAGACTGTGGCACAGATTGGTGAGGTGAGTGGGCAGGGGTAGCATTGGGGGGGGGGGGGTGTAAGGGGTGTAAGGGGTCACCTGTGACAGCACTGTTTTTCCTGAGATAGGAGGATCTGCGGATTTTTTTGGGCAATGTTAATTACACTTTGTGTGGCCTTCCTGTTCTCCTCGTGGCCCCTGTGTACCAACCCAGGCAGTAGAAGAGCAAGCTGTTGGGTCTGTGCTTTCAGCAGACCCGCTAGTTCAGAGCAGGGCTGGACTGGGACAAAAAATTGGCCTGGGCATTTTGACTGGTAACCGGCCCTTTGAGCGAGTACTTGGTGACTGTGGAAAGGAAAAACCCAATTTTAATAGAAATAAGCCTCCAGCAGAACCAGGCTGAAGAAGGAACAGTCATCTTCTGTGAACAGCTGGGGGTTTGAACACCCCATTATGAACATTGTATCATTTGTCTTATACTAAATTCAAGTAATGGAGGGAAGACAGAACCCTGAATGCCTGATTTCACAGACGTCATCTCCCAAATTCCTCCTCTAGTAGTTTTTGATGTAATATTTGCGAAAACTGGCGCTCTAAATGACATCCTGCTAAAGTCTTGGTCTAATCTCACTGAGCTCAGTTACTTGGTCCCAGTTGCTCTCTTTGACCTCAACTCTTAGACCTGAGCTTCAACATTTTCAGCGAACTAACATACTGAAAATCAATTACATTTTCAAAATCTGAACAATTTGACAGTTTTGAAAACAAAATCTAAGTTTATTTGTTGGTAAAACCTTAAATTTATAAAACCTGCAAAAAACAAAGCTTTTAAAAGGGTTCAGGCTTTTTTTTTTCACCTTTGTGACTCACATGCTGCCATTTTCTGTGGCTAGACAAGCTTAATAATGACATCATCCTTGTCAAATGGGGATAGATACATACCATTGTCTTGGACACCCCTGGGTGAGGAAACTTTTGTGCAGTAATGTACATGACATTTCACACAGGATATACAGAAACATGAAGTATTATTAGTGAGTGTTCTTAAAGACCACAAAGTAGAAACAGGAAGCAAGCAACCCACTTGTGCACACAAGCCTTAAGATATTCACTTAAGATGTGAGGGCAGGGAGGATGGCTGCAGAGCACAACTTGTCTGGACTTCAAAAATGCTAAAATGATTAAATCAATTAAAAGATCTCTTTGAAAAATCCCTTTCAATAAATAAAATTGGACAACGGTCAAGGCTCATCTAAAATACTGGGGAAAAAACTATGAAAAAACAAAAGGAAAAACGAAGACAAGCATGCAAGCTGCAGAAAGTAATTTTTTTTTCATTGTGGTGTCTTACTTCATGGACCAGTCATACTTGGGTTTCAGTAAACAGACTGCAGAAGTAGCAGCATCTGTGGGAGTGAACCATCCAACTTCCTCTTCCTTGTAAAAGTGATTCACTCTGAATTTACTCCATTATATTTTGTCGGTTTGACCTCAATGGTTACAGCTTGGTTTTTTCTTTTGTTCTGCTATCAAGCTGGTGATAGAAACAACTTTTTTTTGGAATAGGTAAGTTTCTTTTATCTTGTTTAATGAAAAACCACTGACCTTGCATATATACATATATATACATATATACACACACACACACACACACACACACACATATATATATATATATATATATATGGTCAGTTTTAATGCAAATAACATTTACTTTGCAAAAACAATTTAAACTGGACTTTTTTTTATTAGAGATGGAACAACTTAACTCTAAAAATGGTATATTAAAAACAAATTAGCCATAGTCTGATTTTATTTATATTTTATTACTGAATTACTGCAATTCTAATTAAAATATGTGAGAAAATTCAAAATTATCCTCAGGTGGAGTTAATTTAAGTGTAAACTGTTGGACTGTGTTGGTACATTTACACGTCATATGACACAAACAACAGTAAATAACTATAGGTTAAGCAGAATGCAGGTTTGTATTGTGTTATCTATGGTTTGTGGGTATGGTAGTTGCAATTCTGTATTTTTCAGAGTTTGGGTATCTACTTCCATGTACTTTACACTACATGTTTTCTGAGAATCCATAGCATGAAATAACTTTAGGCTGATGAGTGACTAGAAAGTAGAGGTTAAGCAGTATTAAAGCAGGCAAGTTATTTCATTTTGAACTTAATCAGCAACTGCTCTAGGTTACCAAGCAAGCAAGCAAAAAGGAAACCTTTATGTAGCACCTCATCTCTGCTGCTTCATATTTGTTCCCTAAAATGGGGCCATCTGCTTGGCCCAGCTCTGCTAGTTCACTAATGTCAAGAAAAGAGTTTTTGGGGGTTCTTTAATCAAAATGGGGTTTTTGTTTGGTTTTTTTTTTTTTTTTGGGGGGGGGGGGGGGTTAAAAAAGAAACTGACTGTATATTAAAGTGACACTAACGTAGTTATGTACATTTTTTATTAAGTCCATGCCATCGCCTATGGATATCTGTAAATCTAACCCTTTGCCATGACTGTAAATACACTGGCTAAGCATCATTTTTAAATGTGAACAGTGAAGCTTCAAATGGATGACTGTGGACGTCTCATATACGGCCCCTGGGCCACACCCAGCTCCTGACACAATTATATCTGGCCTTTGAGATAAATTCATGTGTCATGTGTTGTTAATGGCTCGTTGGTATGTGAGATTTGAAACTTCAGCCTTGCTAAAAATCCATGCAGACAGGGGAGAGATTTTTTTTTATGGGCACACCATGCAGCCAATCACATGCAAAGACAGACTGGGGTCATGCCAATATGTGGAAGAACGAAGGGGGGTAGACATTCTGAAGACACCGAGTGTAGTGGTACAGGCCAGGTAGACAGGGAGAAGGGGAATGCATATGTGTTGGGAAAAAGTGAAGAAATGTAAAAACGTAAAGTGAGCATCATCTGGCTGCAATTCAGTGACATTGCAGACTTCAAAGCTGGGTGCAGAATTTATCAAATTAGGAGCTGGCTATTTTTTTTATTTTCAGTCATTTTCCAATGTGAAGAACAAAAGGTTTCAAACTTGTCCAGGCCTTAAATCTCATTTGTTCCCCCTAGTAGTAGAAAATGTATATAAAGGCTTTTATGAAAACACTGAATAAAAAATTGCTTCCTTGAAAAAGACTAAATGTATTGAATTATTGAATATTACATAAAATAAACAATATAAAAACTATATACAAAGTGTCTTCGAATACCAGACCTCATGTTGTTGCTATCTGTGGTGTGAACGCTGAATGGTTAAGAGTAATTTCTTCTCCTGTCATTTTCAGATGTTATGAACAACTATTTTTTTGCCCCTTCCAAGTTTGTCAGAAAACTGAAGTAAACAACATTTCAACATGCTAGCTACAGGAAGTGTGTCTCTGCTACTCAGCTCATTTCTGTTCTGCTTCTGTTTCTATAACCCCTCACATGCTTTTTCACTGAAAAACTGCATAATTTCCTATCCTCAAGAGGAAAATAATACATCCATTTTATGCACAGACCATGACCTCACTGCTATTCCAGATGACATTCCCAGAAATGTAACATCACTGAATCTCTCCTCAAATAAGATTTCAAACATCACCTGCAAAGATTTAAGAGGTTTAGCTGAGCTCAAAATTTTAAACGCTGAAAGTAATGTGATTGTACACATTGATGATGGAGCTTTTGCAGACTTGGCAGAGTTAACGGTTCTAGTCTTGGCTAGAAATAACCTCTCAAAGGTGACAGAAAATATGTTTCGGGGTCTTTCACAATTAAAAGAATTATCTCTGAATAAAAACCTGATCTCATCCATCTCGCAGGCGGCTTTTCAGTCCCTGGTCAACATAATCTCAGTAGATCTGAGCTACAATTCTCTGTCTGAAATTGCAATTATTGCTCCAGTATTAACACTTCCACACTTACAAAATTTGTGGATTGGGGGAAATGATTTTACTTCTTTCCAGTCCTCCGACCTGCCTTTAAATAGCTCAAACATTAGGGAACTGGATATAATTTGGTGTAAACTCAGAAAATTCAGTATTACAAAAGACATGTTTCCTCATCTGCAGTTACTGGACTTCAGGAGATGTAATAGTAAGATTGAATGGAATGTAACAAACAAAACATTCTTGAGGAGCCTAACTTCCCTCTACTTGGATGGGAATAATGTTACTTTTGAGGCATACAGCAAGATGCTAAAGACTGCTGCCTCACTTAAACATCTTAAACTGTACTTCATGAAAATTCCGATAAAACGTGGTCTTATAGATATTGCCTGCCAGATTCCTTCTCTACACATTCTCGATATAGGGAGTAGCAAAATTACCCACGCAAATGATAACCTGCTGCGGTCTTGCTCCCAACTTACTGAGCTTAGTTTACCTTTTAATAAGATGGAAACAATGTCTGATCATGCACTCCAATCAATGACACAGCTCAAGCACCTGGACCTGCAGAAGAACGTTTTATCCAAAGTGCCGCTTGCTCTCCGGGGACTCTCCAAATTGGAAGTTCTGGACCTGAGCTTCAATGTCATCAGCGAACTCAACAGCTCTGACTTTAATCATCTGAGGGCACTCAGACACCTCAATCTAAACCACAATCGCATTTCCCGAATCACACCGCATATTTTTCAAAATCTGCCTAATTTGAAAGTCCTGAAAATAGAAACGAATGGAATTTTTTCTTTTGAGCATAGCTTCAAAGGAAATTTAGAAAAACTAAAATATTTGTATTTGAACAACAACACTTTGGCAGATTTACAGGAAGGAGACTTCAAAAAACTCCATTCCCTCGATCACTTGGAATTACAATCAGACGACAGTTGCATTGATCATTCGGGAATATTTGAAGAACTTAAAAGTCTCCAAACTCTTAAAGTGTCATGTAGGGGTTACGTAAAAGAGTATTTTAGGGGACTAACAAACTTAAATACTCTGGTCTTCCATATTACCAAAAATCAGAACATACAACATCATGCACATCCTTTCTCATATTTAACCAAATTGAAGAAACTTATTATCTTTGATAAAAGGGAAACTCACGAGGATATTCCGTCAGACGTACTTAATGGTCTGACATCTTTAGAGTACTTATGGATGGAGAAATTTTTTATGGGGTCATTGCACCCCGACACATTTAAATACACCCCCCAGCTGAAGTCTCTGAAGATATCTAATAGTGAGATTTCAAATTTAACATCTGAAGTGTTCTGGCCGGTCCCAAACCTGACAATGCTCGACTTCTCTAACAACAAACTCAGATCTTTGGATTTCCTGGCTGAGGCTAAACTGTCGGCACTCACCTGGCTGAAACTCAGCGACAATACATTGACACTAGTCAGTCAGAATGTGATCAACTCCCTCCCTGCTTTGACCTATCTGGATCTAGCTTCCAACCGCCTAACATGTGAATGTTCTAGCATTGAATTTAACGAGTGGATTCAAAACAGCAGCCAGACACAGATCGTTAATGCTCACCAGTACACTTGTGCATTTCCTGTGAGCCAACAGGGGAAAAAATTCCTGGACTTTGAAATCGACTCCTGTCGGATGCATGCTAATTTTCTCTGCTTCATTTCTAGCTTTTTTCTAGTTGTGCTTACTCTTCTTATATCCTTCATTCACCACTTTCTGAGGTCACACCTCACCTATTCCTACTACCTCTTCCTGGCCTTCCTCTATGATAATAAGAGGAGGAAGAAAGGTATTCCTCACAGCTACGATGCCTTTGTCTCCTACAATGTTCATGATGAAGCTTGGGTCTGTGGAGAGTTGCTTCCAGAGCTGGAGGGTCAACAGGGCTGGAGACTCTGTCTGCACCACAGAGACTTTGAACCAGGTATAGATGCTTTTCTGATGACTATGAAATGCTGGAAATGAGAAGCCGAAATGTTGATTCTGACTGTTTGAGTCAAAGTCCTGCTCGTTCTTCTGCATTGCTCACTTCCTCTTAATATCTTTGTCAGCAATTTAAACTTCTTTTTCCAGACTTGGTTTGGACCCATTTCTGTTTTTCATTTCTATATTTGTTAAGTGTTACGTTTTTATACCAAATAATGTGAAATCAGCACGACAGCCAGTGCAGAATTTTCAAAACCAGCAGACACAAATTAATCAGGACCAAGAATTATTCTTTTAATTTCACAAAGAATTCACCTGCCATTTCTATTGTGCATTTTTAAAACAGGTAAGCCCATTGTAGAAAACATCACAGATGCCATCTATAACAGCAGGAAGACTATCTGTGTGATCAGCCAGCATTACCTGCAGAGTGAGTGGTGCTCCAGAGAAATCCAGATGGCCAGGTATTGTCAACATCTTTGTCCTTGCACCCGATGATGTCACTATGCTCCTATGCTTATTCAACTGTCTGTTCTGTTCTGTGTGTGGTGTCTTTAGCTACCGTCTGTTTGATGAACATAAGGATGTGTTGATCATGGTGTTTCTGGAGGACATACCAGCCAAGCAGCTGTCTCCATACTACCAAATAAGGAGTCTGGTGAAGAAGCGTAGCTACCTGAGTTGGCCACAGGCTGTTCAGCACACTGGAGTCTTCTGGCAGAAAATACAACAAGCTCTCAAGAGAGAAGAAAACCCTGCTGAGCACAGACACCTCCTCACTGGACACCAGAGAGTCATCCAGTGAGATTTACCCAGGTGGAAAAATCATAGATTGTATATATCAATCAATCAAGTCAAAATGCAGTGAAAGTGGACCCCTTCCGACCATAGATACATAGCACAAACATCACATTGGAAGACAGGTTGGAGAGAGATGTAGAATGGTAAGAACAACAATGAAAAATAACATCAGGGACAAAAGGAGGAAAAACAAACTCTACTCAAACTGAGCTAATAACTGGTAGAGCAGTTTGAGGATAGTAAGAAAACACCTCAGCGCAGAAAAGCACATGAATCTTCACACCTTATACCATGTAAGAAGGATGCGACATGCAATGGGGGGAAGCCATCGCCAGCTTATTGCAGACAAACTGCATTCCAGTTTCACTTCAATTTCAATGGTTCTAGAAGGGAAAACAGCCCTGTGCTGCCTTGACCTGTGACCTCAGTGAACACTTTCTGGTCTGGTGGACTTTCCTGGAGTTTATGGACTCAGTCAAAAGTGTCATCTGCTATTTACTATTTCTTTTTCTTTTTTTGCCATTAAAGTATAAATAAAACTTTTTTTCATCATTGATATGCTTGAAAGAAATGCTATGATAATATGTGTTATAACATAGCAACATGGTAAAGCTGTAATAAAGGCAAAACAATGTTTTTACATGACAGTAGTTACATGTTTTATTTACTACATCATTTTCAGTGTTTCCATTAACAGCACCAAAAATGTTTAAAAAAAAAAATCATAACCATAAATTCATAATGGTGTTGTTCTTTTCCCCCCTATAATTTATTGTGATAGGTTTAAGCACAGTACGAGATCCAAATGTTCTAGCCTAACTGCCCAGTAGCGACCATATTTTAGGTAAATTTTATTCTAATAATTCAAGTTACTTTCAAATCTGGGACTCTATGTCCCAGATTTGAAAGTAACTTGATAGACACCCACCTTTGACAATTAGTAGGTGTTGGGGATGATAGCCACGGTTTCAGGTCAAAGTATGTCCCTTCTGTCACTGTTTACAGATAAATATTTTAAAAAGATAATAAAAAAGCTAACGTTTTATCAGACAATAGCCAACGGTTTTGAAACAACTCTTGAGAAAATCTGTTCCCTCTTTAATTCTCCACAAAGAAGTCTTACCTGTGTTCTCAAACTTGATAGGCCAGTACAACTCAAACAAACGAAAAAGCTACTGAAAGGATTGTCTTTGCGTACAGATCCTGCGTATTCGTGTGTGTGTTAGTTTGTCACCTAAAAATTAAATACTAACAAAACAGGTTTTTGTGTGGGGCCTGCTGACAGCAGTCTCCAGCTACATCAGTGGTTCTCAGATGATGTGCTGAGGCCTTGGATTTTTTTTTTTTTAATATTTAACACAACATTTATAATCAAGTATATATTCTTACTTTCCAGACACTCCTTTGCCAACACTGAATTTAACAAAAGAAAATGAAAAAAAAAGTCTGTGAGTTTTTGGTTTGTAAGTCTGAAAACAATCACAAAGGGTCTGATTGTGTGAATAAAAAAAAGTATGTTTATTATTTCATTATTTCAGATACTTTTAAGTGCAACAGTGTAATTCATATACTCATATAAAAGGAAAGGAACGGCCAACTTTACTTCAGACTGAAGCCATAGTCGCACAGAAAAACAAGGCTGGGCTCGTGATGCATATTCTTTAATCTGTGATAAAATTGTGTTTTCAGTCACTAACTCTGCTCATATTCGTCCAAAAACACTGCACATACAATATTGGAACACATCGTAATTGCCTAAATGCCTCAGCTCAGAGAAGTCCGAATCCAGATTACTAATTTTCAGACTAACTCATCCTGACTTGTCATTTCTGTTTCCATGAATTGACCGGTTGGATAGAGATTAGACCATTGTCCAGAAGAAGGGTGAATTGTTGGTCCAATACATCCATTAATAGACACTTTCAACTATGGAATTAAAAGTAATGGACATGGTCATTGTTTGTGCACTACAACTTGGAAACAAAGCCAGAGATTTCTTGCTCCCCTCACCTGTGACTCTCTACTCATATTGGGCTTCAATGATTCTGGAAATCTGTTTTCTTAAGCTGTAGTTGTAAAGATGCAACCTTGGCTGTGACATGACTGGAGAACAATTAGCTCACAGAAACAGGAAGGATTTGGAATTACGTTCATTCTATGATACAAAAGAAAGAGGAAACTGGCAGGAAATGTCCATTTTTAATGGTTTCGCTTGCTATTGTGTTAAATATTGCAAGAAAATGGAAATTTAAAAAAACTGCTCTAGAGGATGGAAGCATTAATCTCTTTGTAAGTTACTGGTGCAGCCCTCCAGTTAATATGTTCATCTCTTTAAAATACGCTACAGAGCCAGTCCAATACATCGTATCCCAGCTGCTCTGATCATGTTCTGGATGTGTTCAAGGTAGTGAGCTTGTACAAAGGCATGTATTGTCTAAGTACAAGTTCTGAATTAAAAAACCACCTTCACTTCTTAAAGCTATGAGATGTTACAATTTCAAAGTTGTAATTGTTCCACTTTAGTTATTACCAGGTATTTTAGTCTCTCCCCTTCAGATCTATTGAAGGTCTATCCTTCAAGCTCGGGTCCTCTACCAGACGCCTGGGAGCTTGAGGGTCCGGTGCAGTATCTTAGCTGTTCCTAAGACTTCGCTCTTCTAGACAGAGATCTCGGATGCTGTTCCTGGGATCTACTGGAGTCACTCGCCTAGCTTGGGAGTCACTGCACCTAGTTGTCCGATTACCACTGGGACAGGGGTTGGCAACCCGCGGCTTTTTCATCCTTATACTGCAGCTCCGTGTGGCTTGGGAAAATAAATTATAAGTATTTAATTGAAGTATATTTTATTTGTGTAGGTGCTTTTTTAAAATTGTAGATCTAAATTGGAAGATTGTGATCTTGAAATATTAAAATAAAATAACATTTTATTTTTTGTCAGTCAAAATAAGCGTCACACTTCACACCAGAAGGCTGCGCTCATTCAGAATCACAAATGCAGTGGTATCGAGAACCTTCCAAGACCAGACGAACTCGTGTTTGAAACATTGAATGTCATCCCCGACACATAAACACGAAGAAATATGCATTCGATCTTTGGATCCACATACTATCATACTATATGAGCAGCTATTCTCCACCATGAACTATGTTAAAAACAAAACACCGCTCATGCCTCACAGACGACAGCTTACAGTCCTGAGCCTAAAAGAGCCTTTGGCAGTGACGGACTTTAGAAATTGGAGCAGATGACTTTTTCCTGGAGGGTGTGTGCACTACCTCATACTCAAGAGGGCAACTGCACAAAAGATTTGGCAGCAGTGACATCATATTTGATAAAAACATAACTACCAGCATGGTAGTTCTCTACAAAGAAAATGGAGAAATACAGACTTCTCAGAAAAGCTGTCACCACACTGTGTCTCTACTGCAGACACATCTCCAGGGTCAAAGCTTCACTCAGACATACACAGACACACCTCAAGGCACCAGTTCCTCTCCAGAGACAGCTGGTTGTGTCAGTCAACAGCCATGCTGGAAGTGACGACACACAAGTGTGTATGCATGTGTTTGTGTGTGTCAGTGAGTGAGAGACACAGATGTTAGGTGTGCCTTGACGTTTGTTTGCAGGTAAATTCAAGATGCAGGTGCAGGTCCCATGAAATCACACAGTGCACGAAGACGAGCAAGAAAACGTGAGGAGAACCGTTCATGTCACTGCCTTTTGTATCATTGCCGCTCAGTAATAACCATGGATCTTAAAACACGTGTTGTGGAGAATGAAGAAGTGCCAGCAGCTGTAGCAAAAGAGTTTGTCCTTTTAGGAAGTTCACATTTTAGGCCAGACCTATTGCAAGAAAATGGAAGTTGATGCTTCCATCCTCTTTCATTTTTTTTCTCGTT